AGAGAGAGAGGAGACGTGGGGACAGCTCCTGCATGTAAGTTATGTGCAGAGTTAAAGGAAAATCATAAGGCAGGTGTCCACTTAACAGCATAAGACATAAAGCATGTCTGCAACACGTGCAAACCTCCTGTTTGGTTTGGGACCTTGCGAGTTTCATCTGGCTACAATGTTCGACATGGGGTGGTTTTAGCCGTGTCGTGGCGTGCCGTGCCGCGCGGTGTCGTGCCGTGCCGTGCCGTACCGTGCCGTGCCGTGCCTCGCCGTACCGTGCCGTGCCGTGCCGTGCCGTGCCGTGCCGTGCCGTGCCGTGCCGGCCCGTGACCGCCGCCCGCTCGCCAGGCCGCGGCACTCCACATTCGACGGCTCGGCCATCGCCTCCGCCGTGCTTTCGCCAGCTGCTGCGCGTGGCTGTCGCTGCCTCTTCTCCACCCACTACCACAGCCTGGTGGAGGAGTTCCAGGACCACGACCAGGTGGGCCTGCACGCAGTCTGTTGAGGCGCCGGGAAGGTGGCGGTTCAGCTTGCATCGTTTGCCTCGGCTCCGCTCGACTTATGACAGATTTGGCAGCTGTCATGATGACGTTGGCGCTTCGCAGTTGGGTTACCGGCGTCCGGTGTCTGATTTATCGTGCGGTGTGACGTCACAGGCACCGATAGAATTGGCACCGTCCCCCTGCTGAAACAGGCTGCGTAGAGACCGCGTTGCAGGTCCGTCAGATCCTAACAACGTGTTCCTACTCCGTCATTATGGTCCCGTAGTGACCTACTTGTGTCTCTCTGGAACAGGACGTTTTTTGCAGTGCCCTCGTCTGTGCCGTGCCTAAAATTATCGACGATGCTAGGACCAAGGTCATGTCACCGACGAATGCAGTAGTAGCGCTCGCAAATCTCTGGTCAAGTATTGCGATGCATGAAGCTGAGGGCTAAAGGACCGTCCTGTCAGCCAATTTCTAACTTTCCAGCTTCGGGCCAGGCTCTGGTTGATTGCATGAACAAGTGTCATGTGAAATGGCTATGCATGTGCCCTACATTGCGCCTGCTGTTGTGATTGTGTCCGATCGTCCCCACCCCGGTCGTGTGCAGCGCGTGACCCCGTCCCCGACGCGGCCCAGGTGTGGCTGGGCCACATGGCCCTGCATGGTGGAGAACGAGAAACAGGACGACCCCACCCAGGAGGACCATCACGTTCCTGTACAAGCTGACGGACGGGCGCGTGCCCCAAGTCGTACGGCTTCAACGCCGCGCGCCTGGCTGGCCTGCCCGCCGACCTGATCCGGCACGCGCACCAGCGGGCGCGCCGCTTCGAGCAGCGCGTAGAGCGCATGATCCGCTTCACTACCGTGTGGCGCGCCGCCGCCGCCGCCGCCGCACAGTAGACGGCCGTTCATTTCGAGGGTCGGATTGAGTTGTTTCACCACCGCCGGACTCGTTGCGTGTCGGAGTCGCTGCCGTTTGTAGGGCCCCGGAAGAATGCCGTCGACAGAAATTCGCCTGGGACCTGATTGTGATGACTTGCCATATGTTGGAGCTAAGCTGGTATGTTGGTGGTTTTCAGCAATATACATACTCTTTTGTAGCATCCGTGTGTCTTAGCTGGATGATCCCGGACGCCCTGCTGAATGCTCTTATGGCGCACACCGCGGGCCACACAACTTCATGTGGGGTCGGCGCCCAGGTCGCCGCTACCTCCGCTCACGGACCGGCGCAGCTCTGCCGCCACTAACACGACGCCTCTACAAATCACATGTATTGTATCACTATGTCGCCCTGGAGCCGGAGCCGGAGCTGAGCCGCCAGGAGCGGCCGGCCGGGGCGCCGGCGCGTTACACAGCGCCCCGCCGTAACAATGTAACAGACAGACAGACGGCGCGCCGCGGCGGAGGCCAGGACGGCGGCGCCCGCGCTGAAGGACGACCCTGGTGGCCGCCGGTGCGCCTCCCGCACAGGGTCGGCCAAAGCCCGCGCTGGGGAGAAGGAACACTTCCTCCACGCCACCGCGGCCAGCCGCCGCGAGACATGAGGTACAACAGGCGCTGCGCCGACGCGAACGCGTGTGAAAGACGTGTTTATACGCGAGAGGTGGCCGCGGCACGGACGGGGCAGGCACAGGGTAAGGCCTATCGCTACAACAGAGGTACTCGGCGCGCGGCCTCCGCGGGCCGGGGCGGCGGCCCGGCGCCGCCCGCTCGGCTGCCAGCCTGGAGATCCGCCCTTACCGGCCGGCCTCGAGCGCACCAGCGCCGACAGTAGCTAGATCGGGGCAGATGGCACCTATGTGCTGTCGGGCACGTGATTCGGGACGCCCCGCTTCAGCTGCTCCATCTGCTCGTCGATGCGTCGCTTCATCTCGGCGTACTTCTGCCGCACCCGCCGCTTGTACTCGTCCTCCTCCTTGTTGAGCATCAACAGGAAGTTGTTCAGCTCCGGGAGCGTGAAGTTGTCCCACTGGAATCGCGTACAATAACACGGCTTAGTTCCATGCCATTTGGATGGTGGCATGACCATAGACCAAAGCTTTTTCCCCTCGCAAAATCTCGACATTTTTAAAATCACACCACGGCTCATCAGAATATACGGCATAATCTAATATACCACATTCAGTGGCAGTGCCAATTCTTGTAATACACTGACACCAGTCGTCACTCGCCAGGCCCAGCCGCGGTGGGTCCCTGGGTAGAGGCTGTCCGGTCCACCACTGTGGGGCCCCGGGGTAGAGGCTGCCCGATACATCACATCCAGGCACCATTACGTTCAACAGCCGAGAGTTTCGGCGCGACGGCTCAGCATTCCTGCGAGTCATCACGGACCAGCGGCCGGCGCGTGCGCTCCGACGATACGCACCAGGATGTCGCCCGTGTCGTTCTCCTGCAGCACGAACTTCTTGTTGACGACGCCGTTGTGGCTCCAGGTGAGCGCCAGCTCCAGGGGGCGCTCGAGTCGGCCAGGCGGCGCATCTTGACTGGGGACGGGCCGGCGGCCACCGTCAGTAACAGGGGCACGCGGCGGCCCGGTCGCGGACGCGCCGCTAGCCGCTAAAGGCACCGCTAGCCAGGGCGGAGTCAGGGGTGGCGCGGCGGCGGCGGGAGGGCGCTGTTCCTTCAGTCGCTCGCTACCTGGCGCCGAGCAATAGCTGATGCCACATCGGTCGTTGTGGATGGTGTACACACATCAGGCAACACAATCGTGTCTTAATGGAGGAGAAACGGACGAAACATGACACCAGCATGGCTGCCGCTGTCACAACGGGATTACAAGGAACTGAATCAACACACCACATGCACGAGGCACCAACACCGAAACATCGCCGCACCTTATCGGAGCACCTGACCAGCGGGAGGCCAGCCCTACACAACGCGACCACGCTGAGGTGCCCCTCGTATCCGGCTGCTGATGTCGTACCTTTGGTCGACTCGCCCTGCTCGGTGGAACCGTTCATACAGGGCGAACTTCCGGGGGTCGTCCACGATTTTTGAACTTCTTCAATAGTGACGATATGACTTCATGCACAGTGGTGTCGCTGGGAAGGGAGACTCGGCCGGGGTCAACATCCGCCTTCCAACCATATGGCCCCGGTTCTGGCCGCATGGGCCTGACACGTGACGCTCGTGCTGTGGTGTTCTCCGGTATGAGCCACATGTGACGCTCGTGCTGTGGTGTTCTCCGTTTTATGAACACACGTGACGCTCGTGCTGTGGTGTTCTCCAGGTATGAACACACGTGACGCTCGTGCTGTGGTGTTCTCCGGTATGAACACACGTGACGCTCGTGCTGTGGTGTTCTCCGGTATGAACACACGTGACGCTCGTGCTGTGTGTTCTCCGGTATGAACACACGTGACGCTCGTGCTGTGATGTTCTCCGGTATGAACACACGTGACGCTCGTGCTGTGGTGTTCTCCAGTATGAACACACGTGACGCTCGTGCTGTGGTGTTCTCCGTATGAACACACGTGACGCTCGTGCTGTGGCGTTCTCCGGTATGAACACATGTGACGCTCGTGCTGTGATGTTCTCCGGCATGAACACATGTGACGCTCGTGCTGCGGTGTTCTCTGGCATGAACACATGTGACGCTCGTGCTTGTGGTGTTCTCCGGCATGAACACATGTGACGCTCGTGCTGTGGTTGTTCTCCGGCATGAACAGAGTCTTGCGATTCTGCCTTTTCAAGAAGGCCCGATACGCTATTATTCCGTGTTATTAGACGCACTGACACTGGACGATGGTGGGGTATTCTGAGTATCATTAGCACATCGTGCTTATTGCGCACTGCTGAAAGCAATGTCATTCTTGGAAGTAACCTGCCAAGTCATTTCACAAAAACAATGGTACAACCCGTTCTACATGAAAAAATGCATACCAAACGCATCATGAATATCCGACATGGCCTACGTGACCGTCCATCAGTCACCCAGCCTTCCCCTCCATCAGGTGCCGTCACGGCGCCCCACCCACCAGCCGGCACCCGGCCGTCCTCTGCCCCGGGAGCCTCACACCCTTCCCCGGCGCCGGCGTGACAGACCGGCGTCGCCCCAGGCCGCGGCGCTTGCTGACCCCAGCACCTCGGGCGCCGCGGCGCCAGCAGCCAGGAGACGGCGCCGATAACAAGCATGCCTATTGCCATTGATCGGGCCCGGAAATACACGCTGCGGCGGCCGGCAGTGCGCGCGGGAGACGGCCGCCGCCGCAGCCGGCCGGCCGCCACTCACTTGTCAATGTGCAGAGCTTTGACGGTGTTGTCGCGCGGCAGGTTAGAACGAGGCCAGCGTGCGCTCCAGCGTCTGCTCCGGGCTGCAGCACGTCGTAGATGGACGGCGGCCGCGTGCCGGGCCACGATATTTGATCGGCCGGAACAGGTTCATGTGCACGCGGACGAAGCCGTGGAAGGACGGTTGCCCGTCGTCGGACTGGAAGGGCGGCTGAGGGTCAGTACGACCGCGCGCGGCACGGGCGCGCCTGCCCTGACACTGCACCGCACGGCGCGGCGACGGTGCGGCTTCGTTAGGGACGCTGGACGATGACTGCGTTCGATCTTTACGACTCGGAACATGGGCCAATCCAGATGAATTCACGCATGTGCCGCGCGCTTATGGGGGAGTCGCCGCCAGGAGTATTTATCACGCGCCATTAAAAGCATTTGATATGTGACAGCTCAACATAAAATACTTCGCTATTTTGAACTTTTCCACGGCCCATCTTGCCTGGCATCCCTTTCGTCGCACGGAAATCGGACTTCCGCGAGAAAACAAGTTCATCGCCGTGATTTTCAAACGAGAGTTATGACACGGCGCCTGCAGCAACGGTGACATTAGCCGGCAAGGGCACACAACGGCACAGTCACATCTGGCCATCCGGCCACTGCTGGCCCATATCCAACTCGGCACTAGCCGTCGTTACAGCACAACACAGCGGCGGCCTCCCACCCCCGCCACCCTCCCCCTGGCCGCCGCCGCGGAGATGCGGCCGAGGTCCTCACATCCGGAGACAACGGCCGCTATCGGCCTCCTTCAGGCGCCCCCGCCGACTGTGGCGCCGTCCCCAGCGCCGCCGCGCGGTCCGCGCTGGAGCTCGCCAACCGCTAACCGGCCAACCCGGCTGCTCGCAAGGGCTGAACCTCGCCCTGCGTTAGAGGCCTCACCCGCCCCAATGTAAGCCCCCGGCCAGGTTCTTACTCACGACCAGGCCGACTCTGCGTTGGAGGTCTGGCCTAGTTCGTTACTGGGCAACGTTACGGCGCTACGAACGTTCGACCGTTACGAACGCCGGCGCCACGTGCCACACCCCACTGAACGTGATCCCGGTCCGCACCCACGCGCTACACCCTACTGAAGGTGATTCCCGGGTCCGCACCCGCGCGCTACACCCCACCGAACGTGACCCCGGTCCGCACCCACGCGCTACACCCCACTGAACGCGACCCCGGTCCGCACCCACGCGCCACACCCCACTGAATGTGACCCCGGTCCGCACCCCACGCGCTTTACACCCCACTGAAGGTGATCCCGGTCCGCACCCACGCGCTACACCCCACTGATACGTGACCCCGGTCCGCACCCACGCGCTACACCCCACTGAACGTGATCCCGGTCCGCCACCCACACAGCACGCCCCGCCCCGCTCCGCAATGCGCACTTATCCATGCCCCGCCACGCCCCCCCTGTACCACAAAACCTCCCTGCCCGTGCGCAACAAACCTCGCTCCCCGCTGTGCTCTTAGCCTGGGCGACCCGGAGCCCACTAAACTTTGCTTAGAGACGCGCGGTAAGCCCGGCTCAACGGTGGAGGGGGGGGGGGGGGGGAGCGCAGGCTTAAGCGGCTCACGCAGTGCGTAGGTCCTGGCGCTGCAGCCGTTCCCCACTCGGATCACAAACTCCCGACCGCGCGGCGCTCCTCACAACCGAACGGCCCGCCCGGCGGATCTTCCGGATACAACGCACCAATAAAACCCCCCGAGCCGCGCCGCGCCGCCCGTAAATCGACTCTGAGCGGCTCCGCGAGCGCCAACGTCTGCGTGCGCGCCGGACCCAGCCTTCACGGAGCTAGCTTAACACGTCGTTCCGCCGGCACAGCCAGATCATGGCGGCGGGGAGGAGGCCGGCGGGCGCCGATCCCCAGCGATGGTGCGGCGGAGTGGCTGCCCAGCGCCGGCAACAGGTATCTCTCCCACTGAGGGCGTCGGCGAGCGCCGCTGGCAGCTCGGCCGGCGGGAAGGCTGCGAGGCGCGTCAGCTGACGGCGCGGCCGGAGGTCAGCCGGGCGTCATCACGGGAAGGGGAGGGGCGTGACATCAGCTGACCTCGCCGGCCGGCCGGCGAACAATCGATGCCACTCGGCCCGCTGAATTATGCACGCTGGCCGCCGCCGCTCCGGTAGCCGCTTGATACAAACATGGCCCGCGGGCCCACAAATCAATGGCCGCGCGTCGCCACCGCCGGCCGCCCGCTCCCGGGTCCCCGGGTCACCGTAAAGCCACCGCCGTCCGCCGGCTCCCGGGTCTCGGGTCCACGTACAGCCACCGCGTCCGGCGGCGGGCCGCCCCCGCTGTCCGGCCCCCGCACCCGCCCACTGCGCCGGCGTCCCCTTCCCGGTGACGCCCGCCGGCGCCGCGCGAACGACCTCGGGCTTAGGGCGGCAGCGTCCCAGTAACTCCTCCGGTACGGGGGGCAACCTGGCGACGACCGCCGACGACAGGCCGCTGCCGTGGCTGGACCGGCCGACGCCACGCCAATGCTACCAACGGGCCAGCGAAACGGCGCAGCGTGGGCACTGCGCGAAAGCTATCACGTACGTCGTAAACGGAATTTGATGGAACTGCATGCGCTGGAACCGTATTGAGGCTATGCAAATAATCTCAAGCCGAGGTCAAGCAGAGCGTAGCCATTAAACCGACGCTGAAACTAGTAAAACATGTGCTCGGGGACTGGAAGCAGACTCTGTGCACATGTGAAAATGCTTCGCGGAACATTCCAACATACAAAGCAAATCGAATTGCATGATACCAAAATAGCTGGGCCATAACGCCAAAAAAACGCAGCACGCCATGCAATTCACTGATATCAGTAGAGGCGTCCCGTAGCAACTCATAAATTGATTGACTTGGCGGGAGGCATCCGAACGGTAAGCAAATCACGGAAAAAGCTACGGAGAAGCTGGCAGAGAAAACACCCTGAGACCACGTGCCAAACGGCTCGGCGCGCCTGCCCCGTCGGAGGCCGACGCTCCCGCGGCGGGCGGGCCGCCATCGGGGGCGCCGCTCCCACGGGACTGACGCCCGTTCGATGCGCCTCTGAGTGGCCGTCATTCGGCCAGGTCCGCCGAGGCCGCGACAGCCGTCAGCCGCGGACGGACGGCCCACACTGTGGAGCGGAGGGGAGAGAGGGACAGCACCGGCCGGTCCGGACACCGTGCTGCCTGCCCGAGGGACGCATGCCAGGCTCGCTCTCGCCCCGCCCCCCTCCCCTCCCCAGGGGAGAAGTGGGGAGGGGGAGTTCCGCTTCCTTCCTCACAGTCGTATCTCACTCCCAACGACTCAACTTGGTGCCGCCGTCCAAACAGCGACGCTCTCCCGTCCAAGTTGGTCCCAGAGAGCGGCGGCGGCGACGGCCGAAGGCAGCCATCAGGCCCCGGGGGAGCGGCGCGGGACGGCAGCGCCCGGCGTCCGCGCTCGCCCCGGCCCACCCGGACGGCACCGCAGTCACCGTCGCCACGCGGACAGTGGGCGGGGACGAGAGCGCCCGCCGTCAGCGCCCGACGGCAGGAGGTGCGGCGAGCCGGACAGACGGCGGCGGCGGCGACCGTCGCCCCGCCAGGCAGCGGACTGCGGCGGGCCGCGCGACCGCGGTCCGTTCGCCGTCCCAGTCGGCGACTCCGCGGCGGACTCCGCAGCGAACGTACCCACTCGATGTCGCGCACCACCAGGTCTTCGGAACCGTCGTCGTTGATGGAGACGATGGAGAGGCGCCGCTCGCGCTCCGACTTGCGGCGCCGCTGGCTGGCCTGGCGCCGCCCGCCGCTGCTCCTCGTCCTCCATCGCGGAACGGGACAGGCTGGCCGCCTTCACACACCGCGGGGCGGGGACAGGGCGGGGACAGGAGCGGGCGGGGGACGGTCGGCAGGCGTCTCAGAGCACTGCACGGGTCCAGGCAGCGGGCACGGGCACGGGCACGGGCACGGGCACGGGTCCAGGACGGGCACGGGTCCAGGCAGCGGGCGCGCCCTGCAAGCGTCGGAGACGCGGACCGGCGACGACCTCAGCCACGGGTCACCCTCGGGCGGTACACGGCAGGCGGTACGGACCACGCCGCGAGGCCGAATGACCAGCGGAGACGGCTGCGGAAGCCTGGGCGGCCGCCGCATCCGCATCCGGCCCCCCGCGGCGGGGCGTTCCGGCGCCGGCGGCACGCAGCGCCGCCGTCCGGACGCTGCTGGTGCGGGATTCGCGGGGTGACGGCGCGGCGAGGGCGCGACCGTCGGAGATCGACCAGGACCAGGCTCCAGCGTCGTTGCGGTCGGCTCACTTTGCCGACCCGTTGCTGCGCATCCTTCACGACCAGCTCGACTGACACGACCGAGAGCGGAACGCGCAGACGGCCGCAGGCCACACACCGAGCACGTACCAGAGTCATGTAGAGCCCCTGCGACGTGGCGTTGAACTTCTCGATCATGCCGGCCTTGATGGCGGCGTCCGTGCCTCGCACCTCGGCCACGGCGGCGCTGTCGCATCGCTGCAACGGAGGAGTCGGTCAGTGGGGCAGCAGGCCCGCGGCCCGACGGAGACACGCGTGCACCGCTGTGCCGCCCGCCACCAGCGCACGCGCCGGGCGGCGTCAGGGACGAACGCGACGGGCTCATGCGAGCGCTAGGTGCTGTTCCCGGTCGGTTCCGGTCCTCCACGCGGGCCGCATGGCTGAGTGAATAACATATTCTGCGGATCATATTCCGTGGAGCCCTGACGCCGTGGATGGGTACGTTTATGCTGGACGTCGAAGTCACGCCACAGCACCGTCTCTCGCCGAGAGGAATGATTGGGACTCCACACGGGGAACTAGGCCGTGATCATCTGCGATTCCGCTTTCATTGCAGACGGGGCGAGGGAGCTGGCACTGGCAGAAGCTGCCCGGCCCCGGCGGTGGCAGGCAGACAGCGGCGTCTTTTCCTGGGAGCGTGCTCTAATGCAAGGCTGACTCCGTTAGGTGATGAAATAAGGCCCGCAGAGCCAAGTGAGTTATCTCATGCCCACGGCAAGTGTCTGGCGATGATCGAGTTTGGTTTCACTCGAGGAAAGAAGGCATAAACGAAGTTGGCCGAATGCATACGTGGTGAGAGTGAGAGCATCTCATTCGTACAGCGCCATCGATCTTGCCAAGACGCCCACGGCAGCTCATTTCGTGTCAAAGTGCTCCATTCTGCAGCCAGTGGCTCGATCCGCTGCCGTCCCTCCAGCCTAAACGCCGCTCCCCACCAGAGATTCCCTGTTTAGGCCCAAACGCGCCGTTATTGCGGGGCATAACTGCGAGACGCATCTGATGGAACACAATTCCAGGGGACATCCTCTCAAGTTGAGACATCGAGCGCCATCTTATGACGGGCGGCCGGCCGGGACGCGAGGCGCACGGAGTTACGACTGCCGCGTGCGCGGACGACGCCCGTCGCTCGGAGACGGCCCGCCCGTTCAGCTTGGTCCACGCAACATCCAGGGCGCGCGGGGCGTGGCGCGCGGAGAAGCGCAGGAACAAAGAGACCAAATCACCGAGACATATGGCCAATAGTGGAGGGAGACCGGTCCAATGTCGCAATCAGAGCTTCGCAGCGCGACAGCGCACGTCAACTTCTCCCAGAGACGAGCAGCGTGATGTGACGTGGGCGAGCTGCTGAACGCCGCCTGCCGCGGTCCCAGAGGACAGGTTCGGCATTTTCCCGTTGCATTTTTCATTCCACACTGCTGCAGGCAGCGTCGGAGGCCGCGCCACCGGCAGCCGCACCCGTTCCTACCCGAAAAATACCATCCCAACGCGCCGAGTATTGATCCCGGAGGGCGACTTTGTGTCCAGCACGGCTGCCTTGTCTGGCCGGTGGGCGGCGGACAGGGCGGGCTTCTGGGAGCCACCCACCACTGGCACGCGCCAGCACGCGCGCTCACTTGCCATCCCGGATCAGGGCGGCGTCGGTTCGGTCCGACGCGCGCCGACGCACGCGGGTCCAACGGCCGCACACAAAGCCGGCCCACCGGCACGTGGGGCTCAGTGGTCTAATGGCTAGGAGAGTGGGACCCAACCTCTGCCGCAGTCTCACCGGACCAAGGGCCGCTTGCCGCAGTCTTACAGCATTGGGAGCCGTCTGCCGCAGTCTCACAGGACCGGGCAACTGACGTCTGTGGTGGTCTCACAGGACCGAGAGCTGTCTGCCGCAGTCCCACAGCATCGAGAGCCGTCTGCCGCAGTCTCACAGGACCAGGAGCCGCCTGCCCCAGTCTCACAGGACCAGGAGCCGCTTGCCGCAGTCTCGCAGCATCGGGAGTCGTCTGCCGCAGTCTCACAGGACCGGGCAACTGAAATCTGTGGTGGTCTCACAGGACCGAGAGCCGTCCGCCGCAGTCTCACAGCATCGGGAGCCGTCTGCCGCAGTCTCACAGGACCGGGCAACTGACGTCTGTGGTGGTCTCACAGAACCGAGAGCCATTATGCCGCAGTCACACAGCATCGACAGCCGTCCACCGCAGTCTCACAGCATTGGGAGCCGTCTGCCGCAGTCCCACAGGACCGGGAGACGTCTACCGCAGTCTCACAGCATCGAGAGCCGTCTACCGCAGTCTCATAGCATCGGGAGCCGTCTGCCGCAGTCCCACAGGACCAGGAGCCGTCTACCGCAGTCTCACAGCATCGAAAGCCGTCTGCCGCAGTCTTACAGCATCGAGAGCCGTCTGCCGCGGTCTCACAGCATCGAGAGCCGTCTGCCGCAGTCTCACAGCATCGAGAGCCGTCTGCCGCAGTCTCACGGCATCGAGAGCCGTCTGCCGCAGTCTCATAGGACCGGGAGCCGTCTACCGCAGTCTCACAGCATCGAGAGCCGCCGTCTGCCGCAGTTTCACAGCATCGAGAGCCGTCTGCCGCAGTCTCACAGCGTCGGGAAACTGACATCTACCGCAGTCTAACAGGACCGGGAATCTGACGTCTGCCGCAGTCTAACAGGACCGGGAATCTGACGTCTGCCGCAGTCCTACAGGACGAGACAAGTGACGTCTGCAGCGGTCTCACACCAGGCCTGTCTCGCCGACGGCAGGCTGCCCAGCCCTGCACCGCCAGAATGAGGCGGGAGACGAACTACCCGGCTGCCGCCGCCACCACCTGCTCCAGACAGCTCGTCACGAGGACGACCGCCTCCCGCCAGGCCGGGCCCGCCCTAATGAGCAGACCATTGAGCGGTGGCCCCGTCCCCGCCTCCGGCCAGGCGCCGGAGCGCAGGACCGGCGGCCAGGCGACCGGCGGCTCCCGCCAGGCACGGCGCGCTGGGCCATGCATGTGACCGGCTCGTCACTTCAGGCCACCATTACGGTCACGGTATAATCCGGTCACGTTCGTATCCGTAACCAGGAGACACTCATGTGGCGATATGGCTGACGTCCGGCGCGATAACATTAGGCCGCAATCACACTAACTCATGATCACGTCGGGGCGCAATCAAGGTCGGGGGCGACCGTAGCACAACCAGCGCAAGGTCGAGTAACGCCACGGCCATAAGGCATACGTCGGGGAAGCCACGTCCCAGCAGATCAGCCACCATTACAGTCCCAATAGGTCCGTCACGTCGGGTGACCATGACGCCACATGATAAGGCGCCGCAACGACGGTGACGGCCGCAGACCTATCCTCGCCCGGTCCGCCTAGGACAGTGAACAGACGCGGCGCCGCCTGGCGACCGGCCCTGTCCAGACTGCGCTCGACCCCGGCCTGTCGACGGCGCCGGTCCTAGTCAGCACAGACGACCGGCGCCGCCCGGCAGCCGGCCCCGTCCAGACTGCGCCCGACCCCGGCCTGTCAACGGCGCCGGTCCGCGTCAGCAGAGACGACCGGCGCCGCCCGGCAGCCGGCCCCGTCCAGACTGTGCCCGACCCCGGCCTGTCGACGGCGCCGGTCCGCGTCAGCAGAGATGACCGGCGCCGCCCGGCAGCCGGCCACGTCCAGACTGCGCCCGACCCCGGCCTGTCAACGGCGCCGGTCCGCGTCAGCAGAGACGACCGGCGCCGCCCGGCAGCCGGCCCTGTCCAGACTGTGCCCGACCCCGGCCTGTCGACGGCGCCGGTCCGCGTCAGCAGAGACGACCGGCGCCGCCCGGCAGCAGGCCCCGTCCAGACTGTGCCCGACCCCCGGCCTGTCGACGGCGCCGGTCCGCGTCAGCAGAGACGACCGGCGCCGCCCGACGGTCGCCGCGGCGCCGCCCAACTAGGCCGACGGCCAACCGGCCCCGAATCATCAATTCGCAGTCGCACCTCCGAGAAAATCCACCGCCGGAAAAAGAGGAACGGACCGCCAAATCCCCCCCCCCCCCCATACGAGAAGCCGTAGCACCGATCACTGCATACCCACGTGGACGATAAGCATTCGCTGTTGGCAAGACGCAGAAAGCCCCGACGCCCAATACGCAAATACGGCCATCCACACGCACGCACGCACGCACGCACGCACGCACGCACGCACGCACGCACGCACGCACGCACACACACACACACACACACACACACACACACACACACACACACACACACACACACACACACACACACACACACACACACACCACACACACACACACACACACACACAGGCCATCCACACGCACGCACGCACGCACGCACGCACGCACGCACGCACCCACCCACACCACACCCACACCCACACCCACACCCACACCCACACACACACATTCCGGACGGTCGGGGCTATCCGGCCGCCGACCACAATTACGGTGGCATTAGAGGACAAATGAAGTCGGCGCCGAGTTAGCCCAATGCCAGTCGGGCCGGCCCTGAATACGTAATGGCCCGGCCTTAGCAGTCCGACACGGCGCTAAACGAGACTCAACGGCCGCACGGCGAGGCCAGCATGGAAATCCGGCGGCGGGAGCATATACGTGCGGCGCTGATGAGCAATTTGAGGAGGGGCGAGGGACCACGACGTCGTGTTCCCTGGAGGTGGCTCAGGAACTTCTCGCCACACGCTGGTGGCTCAGCACACTACGGAATGTTTTGACAACGGGATGTTGCGCGTCGCGTGATTACTGCATTTTATACCGTAGGATATTCGTTCAACCTCGCTCTACGAGCGGGCCGTAGATCCCCGCCTCTGAGGTCGTTTACGAAATAAGTTCTGACGTTTTTACAAACGCTAGTCAAATTTAGAGCACTTCAGTTTTCATCATTTTTACACGTGACGTGAAATGAGGAATTTGTGACCCTACCGGTTTGTGATTTCTGTCCTGATTCTCGGTGTCATGTCGGTGACATTTTCTTCAAAAATGAAAAAAACAGCGCTTATCTAAATTTAATGGAACATAACTCACAACTTGGGAAAACCTTTCCAACACTGTATTCCGCCTGGACGTGGCTTGTTTAGTCCAGGGCGGGCCATGATAACAATAGCCTTCACCACTTTGACCTCGCATGACAAAGCACATGTCACATCTGCCGATGTCCAGTGCACATGTGCCCATGTGCACATGATGTCTAGTACATATTCGACCGAGTTTCCCAAGAGCCATTCAGCGCCGCCATAGCATTTTCGGCATTCCGCATACTGCAGCATGCTACGCTGTCGTAGCATGCTTAGCTCTTCAGATAACAGGGCGGTCGCTAACGTTGCAATAAGACATTGTCAGATGCATTGAACCGTCAGAGTTCACATTTCCCATTGCTCAGATGTACTTGTCTGATGCGCTTCGGCGGGAGATTTCCGATACCGCTTTTCTCCTGGCTCTTCCTCGTGGCGGCGAGGGCCCTTTGATCGCACGTGACGACGAGCGCGGGCAGAAGCCACCTTCAGCATTAGAAAGGGATTCCGCTCGCCGAAAAATTATTTTACGACACATATCTATAGAAATTCACAGCCTCTTCTAATATTTGTGGAAACATACATTTCCCCGCCACTCACCACTTTCATTGAGGATCGTTGAGAGAATCACCTATGGAGACTCGAAAGGCTATGCCCAAACAAAGGGTGAGCGGGGTTCGAATGGTCTATCGATACCGACCAGCCCGTCACTTGCCCACATGCAGGCCAAACTTTGCAGAGGACTGAACAGCTATCAGGCAAACGGATGTCGTACGAACCAGCAGGAGATGTCTGGACTTTGTACGTGTGCATCTCATGAACAATTTTCGGTAGGCCCCGTCATTTCACCGGCAAATGGACAATATCAAGAGCGAAAAACGGAACCAAATAAACAATGTGAGAACAGAATGAACACAAAAAAACCTTTTAAATGAAGCGAGCAGTTATCCAACTACTGTCACCATGCCTGGCGCTCTGACATTCCGCCGTGTCCGGGCCGGCGGCGCTCTGACATTCCGCCGTGTCCGGACCGGCGGCGCTCTGACATTCCGCCGTGTCCGGACACGGCGGCGCTCCGACATTCCGCCGTGTCCGGACCGGCGGCGCTCCTGGTGCGTGGCAGCTCGGCCGGGCTTACCACTAAAGTCTGCACTTCGATCAGATCTTCGTCCTGGTTGGGATCAGTGACCTCCGACAGGTCCAGGTCGCTGGACGTGTCCGAAGGGCAGTCCAGGGTAACGACATCTCTACACCGCTGGTGACACGTGTAGCTGCAGTCTGCGAATACAGGGGCCGTAGGTTACGGAGCGTTAGAGCGGCAGATCAGATGAATAAGCAATACGTACTAATGACCACCATTTCTGCCCAAACTGTCCAAACAACCTTCCTGAATAAAGGCGTGCGGACACAACAACTTGTGCAGATCTTCTTTCAGGAAACATAACTCATGGATCAACTTAAACATTACGTTTAATGCTCGCAAAAAAGAGGACTGGCCACTTCTGACATAAATATGCAATTAGGAGCTACAGCCGTCTGCTGGCAACCACGAGCGTCATTGATCCGGCACAAAAACACGAGACACAAGATAACAAATGCATAGACACCAGAAAAGACACCAGACACAACTGGATCACAGAATCAATCAATCCATCAATAAATCGATCAATCAACCAACCCAGCAATCAGTCGACCCGTTCAGTAATAAATCAATCAGTCATATATTTCGGGAACGTCCCACATTTTTTCCAGCGTTTCACGTCAGTGACAGATAATAGTACGCGACACACAAATACAGCAAACCCTAAGAAAACGAAACCGGTCAGAACACGCTGCAGTCATCACACAAATATTGTCGGTTTTCAGTAAGTCTGGTCTCAAGAACATCCATGTGAACATCCAACAGGTGAACATCCAAGCCAGGGCAACATCTCCCATTCGCGAACAACCCATTCCGAGCTTGCGTTGCACGACTCAGAAATGAGCGCCGTTGTCAAACTCTGTCCGCATGCGTGGATTGTGGGGCTGGCGGTCGACGGCTGCCCCTGTGCAACGGCGGGACACACCGGAGCGGCTGCATGGTCCGTACATGGGCGGCTCCTCCACCCGCAGCCAGTTGAGCTCGGTCCACCCGCAGCCAGTTGAGTTTGGTCCGTCTCGGTCGCTTTACCACGGTCTCCGAGGACCGCGACAGTGTGGGTACCGTTTATGCATGTCTGCAGTTACCTCAGGTGTATAATCGTGCAACATCCCAGGACAATTATGCGATATTTTCTGTGGCGACACGCTAACGCCCCGCCAGCATCTGCCTGGTTTCCAGCGGGCGTAGGGTGCCGTATTCTGACCAGTGCGATCCATGTACAGAAACATTGCCGCATGACGCCTTCGTAGGCATTTGTCCAACATCACGGCCCCATGGACGGTGACACCCAGCACCCCGACCGACTGAACTGGGGTGATTTCAGAGTATCTGAAAAGCACAGAACAATATGAAGTTGTGTTTTGGCGCCGTGGTTAGAACTAATTATTCCACTTCTTGATGGCTTTGTGTTTTAATGGTTCTGAGAAAACCACTTGAGTGAGTTCTGGGGACCAGAGTGGAGACAAACTGTTTTAAGTCCATAAAAGTTTACTGCTAGGTCAGTGTCAAGAAAATGAGCGTCGTTCTCGCACCTAACGATCTCACCACGCGGTATATGTTGCAGCATACCACATGTAACCAGACGGAATGGTACCGGACCCCGGATAATCCCTGCGCCCGGCCGTGTGAGGCAGAGTGAGCGCTGTAGCCGCCGTGGTCACTAGGGCTCGTCCGTTGAACCGTACACAAAACCACTCGCCGTAGATCCCACACCACCCCAGCTTCACCGGCAGATGGCCGTGTTCGACGCTGTCAAAAGCCCCAGAGGTGGCCGCTGTGACCAGCGCGGTCACGTGACCATTACCCATGCTGATGGCAGCGTGGATGAGAACATCACGCAGGGCCGCCTCTGGGGAGAGGCCGAGGCGGAAGCCGCACTGTTCGGGACATAACACGTGTTGATTTGTTACACATTACATGAGTTGTGAACGTACAACGCGTTCGCAAAGCTTCGTAACGACGGGGGCATTGCCATGGGCCTGTCACTGTTAGGATCACAAACATGACCACCCTGGCGACGGGGCACGCCCGTCGCAGCTTGCCGGGCGGGGGGCAGCCCGCAATTCGTGGCGCAACTGTTCGCACGAAGACCGCGTGGCCCCACAACGGAGAGTGCCGTTCTAATCATCGACATGATGCTGCCGTCGTTACCGCACGCTTTGGACGATGTGCTGCGCTGTAGGGACAGTTCGGGCGGAGCTCGAGCAGGGTAGCTGATCACGGGCGGAACGCTCCGCTGCCGACTACCGACGAGCGAGGGCTGAGCGTCTCCACCGCGTCTGACGCTGCCAGGCTGCCGACTACGGTCGAGCGAGGGCGGAGAGTCTCCTCCGCGTCTGACGCTACCAGGCTGCCCGCTACGGTCGAGCGAGGGCTGAGGGTCTCCCCGTATCTGACGCTGCCAGGCTGCCGACTACCGACGAGTGAGGGCTGAGCGTCTCCCCCGTGTCTGACGCTGCCAGGCTGCCGACTCCGGTCGAGCGAGGGCTGAGCGTCTCCCCCGCGTCTGACGCTGCCAGGCTGCCGACTACGGTCGAGCGAGGGCTGACGGTCTCCCCGTATCTGACGCTGCCAGGCTGCCGACTACGGTCGAGCGAGGGCTGAGGGTCTCCCCGTATCTGACGCTGCCAGGCTGCCGACTACCGACGAGCGAGGGCGGAGAGTCTCCCCCGCGTCTGACGCTGCCGGGCTGCCCGCTACGGTCAAGCCAACGGTCGCCGAGAGTTGGTTTGGCCAAGCAAAACTGGCCCGGCTGCACACATGCCGGCTTTTCAGGCCTTGGCTTTTGCCCCTTGGAGGCAACCAAGAATCGGCGGCTGTCTTTACAGGTGGTGGATTAAGAGTTTCGGGCAGGATGCAAAGAAGAACTGGGAGCACGCGCGGCGCCGTGCCGTCTTCTCCACGTTACGGCGGTCGCCAAATGCTCAATATGCATCATCGGCGAGGCGTCCCATCCCTGTCTGCTCATGCTCTGTCTCGTGATTCCACGGCGGTTCTCATACCGTCGTCGCACGGCCCGGATTGAGATTGATGTCGAATCACTGAGCCACCAAGAATACCGGCTTTCAATCACAGCATTCCAAGCCACAATGTCAGTAGCTGTCGAAGAAGTGATCGGTTAATACTTATATATGCTCCACCAAGACCAGCAGGGGACTGGCCACGCAGACCCGGGGGCCAGGACAATAAATGGACTGGCACCAGTCGGAACCAAGGGGATTCGCTGCGATGACCCAGGATACATAACACGTGACCTCCAGCCGGACCAGGGGTATGACAGTTACACCAACCCGGGTCACGCAACGCACCCAGTACTCGAACAAAACCACGGCAGCCCCACGTGACCAGGATGGGTCAGGTGCCACCATTCGGAAGCTACTTTTCACGGGCGATCTCACGGAGTACGCCCCCAAGCAGACGAAAAAGCACCCGCCGTGAGGAGGTGGTGACGCGTGGCCAGGGGGACGATGGGGGGGGGGGGGGTCATCAAAGGGCACGGTCGATAGCGAGCCGCCGTGCCGGGCGGCACCTGACAGCTGGCGGCCGTGACGTCAAAGGACCCCCCTAACCGTGACGTCAGAGGACCCCGGCCTGGACAACTACGCCTCCATGCCGCCGGTGCCCCCGTACCAGCTGACAGACTTCCTGAGGCCAGGAGGGAACGAGGGGCAGGGGGGGGGGGGGGCGGAACGTGACACCGGACGGCGGACGAAGCGCCGCCAGCTCACCCTCCACGATGTACGCCACCCGAAAGCACTTGTCACGCGGCGAGTAGTCCAGGTAGATGGAGAAGCTGGGCTTTGAGAACTTGACCATCAGCTGCGACTTGTACAGCTTGGGCTCGGGCGGCGGCCCGCTCGCTATGCTCTCGCAGACTCTTGGACCGGCTGAGCTCCGCGGGAGGGGCAGCTCGCCAGTGCGCGAGCGCCCCAGCAGCTTCCTCCGCACGGGCATCGCGACCGCCAGCACGCGCAGCGCAGGAGGGCACGCCGGTAAGCCGCGGCCCGCGCGGCTCGACGCCGGCCGGTGGGCCGCACCGAGACCTGCCGCGGAAGGTTGGCCTAGCTCCGCCGGTCGGCAGGGGGGTGCGGCCGGCGGCGGGTGGGCTAGCTCCGCCGGAAGCGGTGCGGGGCGCGGGCGGGGTCGATCGGCCGCCGGCGGAGGTCACGGAGGTCACTGGCGGGCCGGCGGCCGGCGCGGGCGTGGTCCAGCCGGGGGCGATCGCCCGCGGTGCCGACGACGTGAGGTCACCCGCCACACTGGGCGCGCCACGGCGCTGGCCAGGAATGTCGACGCCGGGCGACGAGCCAACCGGACCCGGCTGCCAGCCCAGCCGTCCCGCAGACAAACAGACGGCGGCGGCGGCGTCTGGCCTGGCCGCCCGCAGACAGCGGCAGAGGTCCGCTGGGGGGACTGCATCCAACATGCGGCTGCACAGGTTCGCTGAAGGGACTGCACCCCGCCGACCCGTCCCAAGGACAGATAGGTCACTCAGGTTCCTTAACGGGTACGGAAATCTTCCCCTCTCAACATCCACCTTCCCATCGGTATTCACAGCACAGCTGCCCGCAGATGTCAGCCGATCCAACAGACCACCGCGCAGACGTCTCGGCCCACAATTCAATGACCCATAGGGCCCATCCGTCCGTCGTAAGTAGACAAGTTGGAGCACCGCTCGGCGGTCAGCGCTCACCAGCGACGACCGCCGGTGCGTCGCCCTGTCTCGGCCCTCCCCACCGCCTACTGGAGGGGACTGGGCGGGGGAGTGGGCGTGGGACTGGGCGGGGACTGGGCGGGGGGCCGCGGACGAGCCGACCCCGCCCACCGCTCAGGCCGATCTCGGTATCCCGGCCAGTGGGCGGTGTCGGCGGCCGGGGCGGGGAGGGCCGGCCGACGGGTCTGCGGCCGGCCGGCGGGTCTGCGGCCGCCGCGGCCGTCCGTCATCGCCTCGAGCCGCCGCCGCCGCTGACGGAGCCGAGTAATGGTCATCGATCGGCCCGCCGCCGGACGAACGGGCCCTGGGGACGGACGGACGGACGCCCTGTATGGCTGCAGCTGATCACGCAGGCCCGGCGCAGCTGCGGCCGCCCGCCCGCGGATGATGGCTGGCGGGTATCGCTCGCACCGGGGGCGTGGG